CCAAAAAAGTTATGAATCTTTAAAAAAGAAAAAGACGTGTAGGTGGCGCCCCCTACGAGTAAGAGCAATAAGAACATCAGGTTCGAATTCGACACCTCAAAAACCTCCTATTACCAAGTTTCGTTTAATTAACTTCAGTATTTCAAAAGTTATTTGAAAAGAACGAAAATAAAAATGAAACTTCAACATCCTGTATCTTGGAAACGAAGCGTTTCCGGACATTTATTTATTATGACAATTCATATTAGAATATTGTGAGGAATCACCTCCTGAAGTTTGTCAAAGTACTTTTGAATCACCCTGTATGCACTGTGAAAAGATTGTGTTTGATTAGCTTATTTTTGCCTTTATTTTTTTAATATTTTTTCTTACATCTAGCTGATAGCTATAGTAGGTACATATGTGTGAATTTGTTAATTATTCTGTAAAAATAGGTGATGCTGTAAAAAAATAAAGAAATAAAAAATAAATCATGTGAGAAATATGAGAGTCTACAATAGTTTACATATTTCCACGATATGTAGTTGAAATCTGAACCATAGATTTCATAACTTTTGTAATTTTTGTATATGCATTCTATTTTTGGTGTTTTTTAAAAATTAATATGAGATTTCCGAATAATAATCCTTTGATATTCGTTGGAATTTGATTTTATTTATTTTTTTTCAGAAGACACTTTGGATTTCGATAATTGTGAAACTGGAACTCCTACTATTGTGACTTTGAGACACCCAAAGACAGATGATTCTGCCAAATTCTTGGTCTCACCAAGGAATAATACGTTGCAAGAAATTTTTACGTTCACAGATGGCCCAAGATCATGGTTTATTGATGAGTCTGTCAAAAGTAATGGAACGTTACATCTGTCCACACCTATCGACCCCATCTTCTTAGGTAATAATATGATTCTAATTGAAAAATGACTTTGATCAATTCATTGCATATTGATACTTTTTCAATCGAAGGATTGAAATTGTCAATAATATCACATAGCAAGCATAGCATCTCATGTAATTTCTAGTAATCTATACTGAATCAGAACATCTCTCATCAGGAAAGAATAATCAACAGTTGTACAGTTGCTGTTGTTGAACTATAATAGGCTGGCATTTTTTAAAATTTATTTATGATCAAGGAGAGAAAGAAAAATGTTGTCAACAACACGATTTCTCCAGAAGGTAAATCCACTTGTACCAATCTTGCTCTTTATACTGAAAATCTTGAGAGGAGGCTACAGGTTGACTCTGTCTGTACTGACTTTTCCAAAGCCTTGGACATAGTCAACAACGGCCTACTTATATCTAAAACTCAAGCGCTTGCTATAGACTGGAATATTTTGCAAGTAATCAATAGCTTCTTAAGTGGTAGAACTCTGTCTGTAAAATACGGAGATACATCATCTACGGCCAATCAGGGGTACCGCAGGGATCCCATATAGGCCCACTGCTGTTCAACTTGTTTGTATTGGACATAGAGTTTGTTTTCAAATATTCAGAATTTCTTATGTTTGCTGGTGATCTCAAACTTTATCGAGCAATTACTTGCCAGGAAGGTGCTGAATTAATTCAAAAAGATCTCAAAGCTTTTTCCATGTGGTGTAGAAATAATTTGTTAGAGGTAAACATTGATAAGTGTCAAATAATTTCATTCGCTAAAAAATTACAAGTCCAATATTCTTCTAATACAAATTGAATAACGAAGCTCTTAAAAGAGAAACATTTACTCGCGATCTGGGAGTTGAATTTGATAGCGAAAATAATTTTAATCTTCAAGTATCAGAAATTGTGGTAAGAAGTCTCAAAATGATAGGTTTTGTGTTGGGAATTTCTATTGATTTTTCAATTAAAACAAACAAGATTTTATATTGTGCTTTCGTAAGATCCATTCTTGAATATTGTTCGGTTATACGGGACCCATACTATAGATAGATAGATAGATATTCATTTATTTCTACAGAGTATATGTAAATCTTGTAAAAAAGTTGAAAGAAATAAATTGTCCGAGAAATACGTCAGTGAACAAAATTATAAAAGATTTATAAGATACAAAATTTGAATACCACACGTCACATACACATATAAGTATAGAGTTGATAAGATAAAATTTAACATACACTGTTAAAATATTCATCTATAGTATAAGGCTCTATATTGCATAAAAATTCTTTCACAGACTTCAGAAAACCGCTGGCCAACCCAATGTCTCTTATATCCTGTGGCAGAGAATTGAAATATTTAATAGCACTGTATACAGTACTTCTTTCATATAGAGATTTTTTATGTATCGGATATAAAAAATCATTCCTAAATCTTTTTCCATACTTATGTGTTTTATGATGCTTTTCAAAGTAGCTTGGTTGATTAACTAAAAATTTTAATGACTCAAAAATGTATATCACTGGTACTGTTAATAATTTGTTCATTTTAAAGATTCCTCTACTTGAATCTTTGACCTTCATACCAAAAAATATTCTGATTACCCTTTTTTGGCAGAGAAATACTCTGTTCAGCTCATGAATAGAGCCCCAAATGATAATACCAAACCTTATTGTAGAGTAAAAATTAGCGTAGTAGACAGTCATCAGAACATCACTGTCAACGTTTTTTTTTGAGAATTCTCATAGCATATGTAGTTGAAGAAAGTTTTCTGCAGAGATTGTCTATTTGAAGATAGGAAGAATTTTTATGAACTTGAGTTTCCTCTTCAAAATAATAAATGATGAGATAAACTGCCCAGAACTACTTCAACTAATAACTTTTCATACCGAACAAAAAGATACGAGAAATCCTGACATTTTTCTTATAAATTTTTTCCATACCAATCATGCTCTGAACAGTTCGATTCCTCGTATTCTGAAGCTGGGAAATCAATATCATAACAACTTAGATCTGTTTAATGCATCACTTCAGGTCTTTAAAAATCAATTGAAAAGGCTATAGCTTTTCTTTACCTTACCATTTTCTTTGTAAGTACCAGATTTCTTACATATTTTTCCTTATAAGTACCAGAATTGTTTCATCTTTTAGTAATGTAGTCACTAGACATAAGAATTCATTAATATTGTTAAATACTTTAAATACAACAAACATTTCAACTAAAACTTCAACTATTATTGTGAATGTCTATCGCCTTACTAAATCACTTCGCGTACTGCACTGTAACGTCCACTTGACTGTGTCGGTATGCTCGCGGCTAGCGTTTAAATATCGTAATCGAATGTTGTGCAAGATGCGCATCTTATGATAGATAATTTCGTTTATTTAACTACATTACGTAATGTTTGTAGCAGGTCATATATATATAACAGTCTAATTCTCACAAATTCTGAACAAATTTTTAGATATTAAAAAAACAAAAATATAAAATATAAATCAATAATATTGGTCCCAAAACAGATCCTTGTGGGACACCATGTGGATTTTCCTGTATGTCCGATTTGCCGCTCTTTGAAGATACATATTGTTTTCCACATATATATGTGGTCAAGGCTATTTGAATGTAACAAAAAAAATTTTTGTTTGTTTAAATTGAAATAGGTATTTTCTTTGGGGAGATTAGTTTTTGGGAAAAAAAACTTTTTGGTTTCCACTTCCCCTTCTTTATAAAATAAATTGTGGGAAACATCAGAAGGAAGGAAGAAAGCTAGGAGAAAGGAAGGAAGTTCAAAATGAACCTGAGCATAGAAGTTACTTTCAGAAACAAACTGGTAGAAAAAAAGCCCTCTCGAAACCACTACTTCCAAATACATATTGAACTACACGAAATGAAAAGTACTTCCATCCCAGTGCCAAAGTTTCCATATTCGGTGACTTCAATGTCCACAATATAGAATAGCTCATATTTTCAAATATCAACGACGAATAAGGTCGCGAAGCTGAGGCTTTTGCAATTAGCAGAGGATTTACTCAGATTAATAATAATAATAATATTCATTCTGTCTTACAAGGGGGTTTTTCCTTCTTTTTAGAAGATTTCTCGCGTTCATTCTATGCTCGCTTTGCTATCAGTTATATCAAAAATCATGGAGGAAGTTGTAAACCACCATATCCTTAAATATTTGGAAGGCTTCAACATCTTGAGTCATCATCAATATGACTTTTGAAAACAAAGACAACAGGTGACCTTCTATCGTATGTCACCCATATTTGTAATAATGCAATCGATAAACATGGAGAGTCAAGAGCTGTTGCGCTTGATATTTCTAAGGCCTTTGACCGTGTGTGGCATGAGGGTTTGCAGGTTTAACTTCGATGCTATGGCTGGTCGAATCATTTTTGTGAATGGCTCTCCAGTTTCCTGGGTGTTTCCAGGGATCCATATCATCTCCAACCATATTTTTATTGATATCCGCGACTTATTCTCGTCATTACATTTGGATTCCAGGACATCTGGTTGCGGCGACAGGAGGTTGCATATCTTGATGGGAAACAAGAGGTGTTTTCGAATTGGGGTGGAAGTAACCAGGTTCAATTCAGTGCCATGAAAACCCATGCATAGGTTTTCTCTAAAAAGATAAATGTCTCTGAACCGGATATAATAGTATCAGGATAGACAATTCCATTCCACTCCAATTCCAGATATTCCAATTCCAACTGACTGAACTTTTGGACTTTTATAGAAGCCGAGGGAAATATATGATGTTATGTGGAGATTTCAATATGAATTTTGGAAAACAAACTGGGGACACATTAACACTCTTGCAGGTATTTTCTACCTATTGTCTAAATCAGTGGTCGCCAACCTGTCGATCGCGAGCTACCGGTAGCTCGCGGAGGCAATTCTGTAGCTCTCACAAAGATTTTAATTTAAAAAATACAAACTGCAATAATCAGAGAAGCTTCCGAAAATTCCACAAAAAAATCTAATTGTCATAATATTAAACATAAACAGCGGCAACGTTGCGGTGAGCGATCTGCCGCTGACGCCATCAAGCTAGAATCGGCTAGAACCGACCAGCCGGACCAGCACGTTAGTGTTCGAAAACGATCTGGATTGCTTTGAACGGGATAAATACGCACGGCGCGGCGACATTGCGCTTAGTTTAAAACTGAACGCGTAACTAACGTCCAGCGGTTGGANGTTTCAAAATGATTTAGCCTTAAAATCGTTAGTCTCAAGTACTGAATGTATCTGGCCTATTGTAAGTAAAGACAAATATTCAGTTCTATGCCGTGTTGCCTTGAAAGTGAAAGCATTATTCAGTTCAACCTATTTGTGTGAATCTTCTTTTTCCAATATGAAGTTTATTAAGAACAAATATCGCAATCGACTTACAGATGAACATTTGGATAATTGTATTTGAATGGCCCTATATGGTATTAATGACTTTTTCCATTCACTCCCTGGACCATAGAACAAAGATGCCGTTCACGATTGTATGTATGTACTGTATTATTATTTTTATTGCACTGTATTTTCTGAAGATTTTATATTTTACTTTTGGAACATGTTAAATTGATGATATTTTGTGACATGTTCTAAAGCTGCAGCTTTGTTATGAACCAAATAAAAAATTTGAATTTGAATGGCTTTTATAGATACTTCTACGGGAGGTGTTCAAGTGACCTGGCACATTTGATTTCACCCAGAGCGTACATATCAGATGTAAGTGACGGACTGTGGCTGCTCATCGTTTTGAGGTTCAACTCAGTACATCTCGAACTTTACTGTTTAAGAACTCTTTCATTTGAAGAACTGCGTTTATGTGGAATAAACTTCCTAAGAACGTTTTTCCAAATGAATTTCATCTCCAGCGATTCAAATCCAATGTGAATCGCTACTTTCACATCCAATGTGAATCACTACTTTCACACAGTCACCGCTCTCAGAGCACCAGGATTATCAGGATTATCCTGTAGTGTCTTTGAAAAATCTGATGCAATTCCCTAAAGGATGTTTGAATTACAAACTCAATAGAAGAAAGTTATTTTGTTCATATAAAAGTGGTAGTTGCGAAAGTATTTTTTCATTCGTGTAATTCAATGTTCATATGAATTTAGTTGTTTGGAGAGGGCTTTTTCTCCCTGTTTATATCTGAAAGTAATTGTTATGCTTGATCTACACATCTCTGTAAAGAGTCTATTTTGAACTCGATTGCTTTCTGCCTTCCTTTGAAACCTCTTCACAATTTTTTGAATATGGAGCTGTGAGAAGAAGATGGAGAAGTGATAGCCAGAAAGAAGGCTCTTACCCAACTTTTGTTTGCAATTTTGAGAGAAATATCACTTTTGTAGGTTACAGTAAACTCTATTGTGGAAATTTCTATGTTTCAGTTCTTCCATATTTACGGAAACATTGCTGTACCCGAGCTATTCCCTTGAGACAACTGCTGATAGATGATGAGTATCCTGAAACAGAGAGATTGCTGGGGTCTAGTGGTTTGGAATATTTGAACTTGGTATCAGACAGAAAGGTGATTTCTTTAATAAAAATTTCTATTCCATAGTATTCACTTTGAATCTCTGAAAAATATTAAGATGTTTCAAAAATCGTGTGCATTTTAATGTCATGTATAGAGAGCGACAGAAAATACATAAATACAATGAACCGTTCAAGATCAAATCACGCTATCTGCCCAGCTTACAAATTCAAAATTGGATTAACAGATAATCCTCTATGCTCATGTGGACGTTATGGCGATCTCAATCACATCATGTTGGAGTGTTCGCACCACATCCACAGTATAAATACCCTTTACTCTGAATTGAAATTTCATAATATCTTTTTTCCAATAAACTTAAATTGTATGTTAACTTCAAACAACAGAAATACAGGGCTTTTCATGATGAGCGTTAATTAGCCGTTTCTGGCAAAATATTCAACGGATCGACCTGAAAATTTCACGGTATGCATAAGACAATATGGCCTTACACGCCTAAAATATTTTAGACGAAGCGGCTACTATAAAGTAGCGGCTTCTTTGATTTTTCAAATGGAACACCCCGTATATAATATCATATTATGATTCATTATCACTTTGTCAACAAATTCATATACTATTTCCCTATACCTATCTATTACCGTTTAGAAGATATAAATTAATTTCGATATTT